TATTATTCAACTCACTGTTATTCAATGTTTTTTAGTTTTTCTACATATAAAGCTTGGGTTTTTAAACCTAAATTGTGACTATTAATATTTTGGTCATATCTGCACCATGTTACACAGTCATCAAAGACCATAAACAAATCTTGCAAAATCTTAACCATCCTCAAATCTCATTCAATTCAAATAAAAGCTAATGCTGTTCATCTTTACTTCAGGCCAAAAGCCAACATTCTCCACTCTGAAACATTTTAATCCAAATGCTTGCCTCTTTCATAGTTAACTACTATTTACTACTTCTTTGAATATAAAATAATATGTTAACCACAGCAAGCCAAAGCTCATTTCTATTACAAATCTACCTAAACAAACATGAACTACCAAATTATTTCCTCTGCAAAGCAGAGAAGATTTAATTAATTTCAGAAAGTCTTCATTACGTTGTTCTTTTAACACTGAGATGTGTAATGAAGTATTAGTTCTACAACAATATATAAGTAGACTATGTTACTTACAGCAACAATTTTGTCATGAACATGAATTTGGCCATTGTGGTCAGCAGCACTACCAGGTATTATATTTTTCACAAAAATCCCTGAAGGTTCTGCTGGCAGAGGGAGGGGAGGAAGAGAAACAAGTCACTACATTAACCTAATTTGTTTCTTTTCTTATTATGATTTTTAATTACAGACTTTTTCCACACACTGCTTCTGTCCACAAAGTTATGATTCTGTAAACGACCAACATCTACACGTTACCACTCACACAGCTTGATATAGAATGACTGAGGATCTCCGATGGAGAAAACAGCACCGACACAACTACCCCTACTCTGACCTCAAAATTTTTTCCTTGAAATGGCTCACAGAAGGTCACCTCCTCCATGGATTCATCCTTGTATTTACTCAGGCTTTAAACCACAATCACTTAAATCCATGCTGCATTTGATTTCAGTAGGACTACCTAAGCTAAAAGTAAAGTACGTGCTTAAGTACTTTGATCAGGACTTCAATCATCTTACAGCTAAAGAATTTAGTACTTTAAATCTTAATGAAAAAGGATTTTTCTCTAAAAGAAAAAAAAAAAAGAGAAACATGGAAATCAGAAAAGCTGTCCTTCGTCATCTTTAACATTTGATTATTAATTCTAACTTCTAATTTCTTCTAATTCTAACTTTCTAATTCTAAGGAAAGAAACCAAAAAAACCCAGTAAAAACCCCAATCATCAGTTGAAGCAGTACCTCCTTCCCTTCCACAAACTCACATAAAACATGAGACGCTGATCTTTAATTCTAGTGCATCTTGACTCTTCATCTATCCTTTTCTGAACACTAACCTTCCTCAGACACCTGCCCAACATGGTTTGTCCATGCTTAGCAAAACCCCTCTACCGGTGGTTCAAACCCACCTTTTCCCATCGCATGACACGTGCTCCTCCCCAGCCTAGTTCCCAGTGCTCACTGCACTGGTCTGGGATTCCTGAACGGCAACACAAGAAGACCCCTTCGTAATGAAGAGGGCTGGAGAGCAACCCCAGCTGCACCACATTCCCAGAATACTTTCTTGAGTTCCACGAGGAAGTGGAGGAGATAAAAAGCATTACCCCTTTGTGTAAAACCAGATATTCAGTTGAATCAATTTAAAAGATGTTATCATTTGTGGAACCAATATTTGAAAGATGAGTTAACAGCTCAATTTAAAGAGGATTTAGGAAAAAAAAACAACAAACAATTGACGCTATGTACAGGTATTCTAATCTGTTCCCAGAGTTTAGACACTGGGAGTTTAGTCATCTACCAAAGACAAATACATCATCTCGTGAAGGTGGCATACACATCACATAGAGCTAAGATTCTCTGCATCTCCTGCCTGGCAGAGGGATGGACTAGTTAATCTGACTGATCATTTTCCCTCCAATAACTACAATTCATTAAAGAAACAGAAGGTGCACGTTCAGCTATTTTGTACATACTGAAGATGCTATTCAAAAGTTAAACTGGGGACATCCGATACGCTTCTTAAAATGCGCTATCAAAATTGAGCTATGTACCGCAGGGGCAAAATAAGGAACAGTGTGGACAGGAACCTGACTGTGTCAGAGCCTCTACATGCAGGAACTGTCTGTTATAGTTTAACGTCTTGCACAGTAACAACATAAGCATGTAAAATTCACAGTCCAGCAGTCAAGTGGGAATTTCTTTTAAAGGTAATTACAACCCTTCAAAATTTTTTACGGCTGAATTTCACTTTGCAGCCAGTTCTCCAAATATCTTCTTCATAGATTTTCTAAGTCATACTATTTCAAAGAAGAATTATCCATTTTCCCCACAGTAAATAAAGGGTATTTGAGAAGCCCCTGTCCTAGACTTTATTAAATCCTGTAGAACTCACCTATGTCACTTGCACCAGCATATCCAACAATTGTTATCCCCAGACTTTGCCCGTTCTTTTTTATAAGTTCAACATCATATATCTCAAACAGGTTGGTGTTATCCTATAAATAAAGCACAAGACAGTAAAAACCCCTCATCATTTCCCAGTACCATTACAATACTGGAGGTTAATTGACATCTTCAGAAGCGAGCAGTGATTTTGGTTTCCATATTTTAGGAGGAATCATATTTTCAAGAGATATACCCCAGATTCGCTAAAAATAAGTAGTCACCCAAAGCCGTCAGGTGCTCTTTAAATTCTTTCCTAATACTTTCTCTGCACACCTGTCAGAGGTATAATATTTATATTTTACGGAAAACATAGCCTTTTGTTAGACTGCTCAGGGACCATTTCCCTCTGCGTTCCACTGCCACTTGGTAACAACAAATTTCCCAGTCAATCCCACAAGACAAGAGAAACCCTGAACACCCTCAGAATTTCTTGTCTCCCTTTCATATGTTAGTCCTGATAAACTGTCATAAATCCACTTGCCTGAGCTCTTTCTCCTGGACAGTTAAGAGGCAAGAAAACCCTGGTATAAATACACAGCATTACTACCTCATACATTTCTGTCAGAAAAAGCCATGCTTATCTCTCCTTGTTACCACCTACTAAGGAAGCGAAGGGCAGCAGAAAAGGGATCTCAAAACAGAAACAGGTTCAATGCCCTGAAATGAAAGAAACCACGTGTACACTTAGTAGGCACATCACTACTACAGAAGCAGCTGCCTACTTAAATGCAAATATGGGAGACTGAGTAGGTGTTTGAGCTTATTATTCATTTTTATGCTAGACTCCAAACCACAAAAACACTCCAAAAGTCAATCCTACAGACATCAGCTTAACAAGTCTGATATGATCCTGTTCAGATTTGGACACCACCAAACTGCAAAGAGGACTGGAAGCCTCCAGGTTGCCTAAGGCAATGGGAAGCAAAAGACTCATTAGTTCACATTCAACGAAAATTATTTTTAAAACCTAACAGAGGAAGGGAGAGTATTCATTTGTAAATGCTTTAGTGTTGAACTGATAAGATGACTTCTCATAACAAACACCACTTGAAAAGAGAAGCACATAACATGACCTGTTCTCCAAACCCTTTGCCCCCTACAATTACCAAAAAAACGTAAAAGCCACTAGCTAAGATTACAATATGATCTGACCTTACACTGGAGAAGTACATGGAAAAAGTTCCCCACAAAGCTGGCCTCAGTATGTCTGTGCAACTCTACCCTGACAACTAAAAATCAAAACTGCGAGACAGAGTTCAAACAGGACACACTAAAGATATTGGTGATACCAAAGAGAAAAACAACCAAGCACACAGATCGGGGATTGCAAGGCATAAATTAAAATAAAGTTGTTTGTTTTCAGTAATCAGAAACAGCCCAATGAGATCAAGATGATGATTAGAGTTGAGGTCTGTTAAAGTGATGAAATCACGAGGGATAGTGTCACTGCCAACAACAAAAAAATGCATCAGGAAATTGGGAAACATTTCTTAAGACAGTGAACAAAAGAGAAGTTTAATCAAATGCTTGCCAAATGTCAGCTTTAGAAGGATCTATATTAAAAGCAGGCCAAAGTTATGGCTGTACCTATTTCATTTTTCACTAAAAGAGAAATCGATGGAAGCTATCTCATTTCTTATCACACGCACCTCCCTCCACTACCCAACTCATTAAGCTCATTAAATGCTTTCCAACTCTCTTGCTCCATAAGACACTGATGGAGATTAAGATAAGTTTTGATGCTCTGTCACTTATCTTTAGGAGAGGGAACCAAAACAGTAAACAAGCCTATAGCAACACCTGAAATGAAGCTATGGCCTTGAAAGTCCTGATATTTTGACAATCAAAGTCAGTGCTCTGGCACTACAGAAATTTTCTCTAAGTAATGTTACTGGTAAAATGCAAAACATTAGAAGTAGAGTCTGGAAAAACTGAAGTAGAGAGACCTAAATACAGTCAGTACACGTAGGCTGCTAACATTGCTGTCAATATCTTGGATAGTACAGATAATACGATTGTTTTCTTGTGCCCATGGCACAGGCACAAGTAGTTTCAGTTACTCTCTACTAGAGGAAATTTAAAGGAAATCAAAAATTAATATAAGACTGAAAAAAACTAACTATATATTAAAAATGCCTTTCTGTTGGTTTGCGAAAAAGAAAAGGAAAATATTTTATATTACAAAGCTCACAGCTAGTGAAAATACTCAGAAACCAGAGAGAAATTAGATTACAGGGAAAAGTCCTGTTGTAAATCAGACACAAACTGAAAAGTGGACCATTAAAATCATCATTAAATTAATAAATACATTCAGATTAGCCACTATTCTTGACTTCGGCAAATCTCTCTTTACACTAGAAAGAAGAGTTTCTTCAAATCTAAATACGAAGGCACTATTTAGCTCAGAAAACAATACATGACATTCAGAAAGTAAATGAAATTGCAACAAGGTTTTTTTTCCCCTCCAAACTACATAGCAGAAATAGAGGACACCGAAAAGACATCCATAAGGAATAACATTTTAGAAAGCCTGCAGCAGCTACAGTGCTCGGGGTCAATTAGTGACAAACGGGCCTGCCTTTGACGCGGGGAAGAGAGAAAAACAGTACTTAGAGAAAACAAAACTAGGACTATGTTATATTTTCCTAATATGGGTCTTGGAAAATATGATACAGCCAGAAAATAAATGCTTCATAATGATGCTGATTCTCTAGGAAAGCCTTTCTTCAGAGTATTAGACAAGCCCACTTTTAAGACTCCAACCGTATGTACATAATTACCCCCTCCCACCTCTCTGCCACTCACGTTTCCTACTACATCAATCCCTCTTCTGAGAAGAGGAGCTTGAGAAGGACCCAAAATGGTTTACTGACAGCTTCAGCCACAGTAGTCTTCCAGAGAAATGCAAGACACAAAGCTAATGGCTGTCTTTGCACTGACTATGCCCAGTAAGTGAGCAGGTGAGTTTGTAACAGTATGACTGCTCATCTGACCTTAAAAAAAAAAAAAAAAAAAAGCAGCTTTCTTCACTCACGTTCAAGAAACTAGACAAGAAAGAAAAGGCTACTCAGATTCTACACCTAAATCTAAACAGCACAGTAGTAGCAGATGGTACACAAGCACAGCTTTGTTTATGTTTCGAGACCTACTGTACACTTAGTGTAGCATTTGTTGATTTTAATTACTCAAAACTGAAAAGAATGACTTCAAAAACAAGAGACTTTGATATGACCATGATAAGATTTGTTAAAACAAGTTTCAAAATTTTTAGATATATTTCCTATCACAGACAGTAGCATAGACTATGAAAACATTACACTTATGTTTCATAAAAAGATGATTGTGCTGAATAATTCTGGTGTGGCTGTGGCGCCCTGGATTTCAGACTAGGGAAATTCACAGTCAAGTTTTAAATCCACTTACAAATGATCGATTAGCAAAAATATAATGAGCTCAGAAGGAGAACTAAAAGTACCATTTATTGATAACGTTTATGGTCTTGGTAATTAACTTACACACTCTGATATAAATTCTGTAAAGCTGGTCATTCCAATCCCAAGATTATAGGTATTAATAACATACAGGGAAAAAGGGAAAAATTATAAAAGGCAGGGCTATAATAATGACCACTTAAATACATGCATATGATATCTGGAAACTCAAAAGGGGATAAGTACTTTAGGTCTCAAGAACACTCTGTTCTCCTCCTCCTTTCTGAGCACAAGCCACGAACGAACTTAAAAATGTCATAAGTAAACACCAGATACTTACATTTCCATTTTGAAAGGAAGGCAATGTACTGACTGGCCAGCTCACAGGAGCTGGTGGAGTTTCCATAATTTCACACTTTGGGTCTCTTGCAACTATCATCCTAACAGAATTCCCACAGTTTCTCAGCACTTGGGCAACTTGTTCACTCGTCATTCCTTGCACATTGGTGTCTCCAATCTGTAAGATGTGATCTCCTGTCCGGAGCCTCCCATCCTTCAAACATAAAGAAAATTGAAAAAAAAGTTTTCAGTGTATACATAAAATATCTTTTCCATTACAAAACTGAAACTGTATACAGGCATCTTCATGGCCACGAGAGCCAATACAAGAAAATACCATAAAACTGACCACCATGGCAACATACTAAATAATTCAAGGAAGTGCTTGCACAATCATGCACTGTTTTTTCCACAGTAGTTAACAGTGGTAAATCAACCTTTCCAAAACTGAGTAAGATACACAAGTTGAATAGCACCATTCCTGAGAAAGTGGTTACTTTTCTCATTTATGAGAAAACAGACAGCAACAATGTTTTATAATCTCACAGGTTGTTATGTACGGCTGTTCCAGAAAGTACTCCTCATCGGAGAGGGGTCAGAATAAAAAGCACAACAGCATTTTGATTTAGGACTTTTCAGAGTTTTTCCTAATACTTCTGTATTAGCCTGGCAATTCTTTTCTCATTACTCCAACTGGAGTAAATCCACTGAAGGTAACAAGACTCCACACAAACCAATTTTTACATGATAATTACGATTCATGACCTACATCATCATTTCTACTATAAGCAAGCATTCCTAGGATCAAATCCTCAGCTGGTATTGATCGGCACAGCTCCATCACCTTAGGTGCACTGATTTATACAGCAATCATAGCAGAGTTATTCCCAGAACTAACTCAAACTCATTTACAAACTTACCCGATTTTAACATGTATATGGGCTCATTATTTTACATGTTCTTAATGATGTCTCATTCAGCTGAGAATGATGTGGTGAGTTCTAACTTACACGTTTCATTTGTAGCCAAAACACTTCATTCCTTACAGCAACACAGGTGTTACACAACAATTAAAAAATACTCATTTACACATGACAGGTTCAGAGGGAGGCAGTCAAGCTCCCAAATCTCAGGTTTTGTTTCTATCCTATACGAGAGGAAGTACCTCAGTCTCTCTCTTTTGTATACTCCGGATCTTGTCTGCCTGGGTTCCAGACCTCAATTGTAACTTGTAATGACCAAGTCACATTAAAAATCCAAATCTGTGTTGCTATTGCACATGTTCTTCTCCTGAAATGTAGCAACCCTTAGCACCGAGTCTTGCAATTATAAACTGAATCTCGCAACACAGTTACTTCAATAGGGCAGATTCTCTTGCCTGACAATTCATTTGGAGAGTTTGCCAAACCTGCCAAATTCTATAGAGGACATGTAAATCCATTAGGAGTATTTGTGTGTCCACCCCAGACTGACCAAAGGCTGAAAATATCAAAAAGTACTAAAAATATTAGAAGGCTAAACAACTTTTCAGAATTTCTGCACGTTCAACAATGTTATAAAAGCTAAAGCATCACTGAGAAACAACTTAATTCATATCAGGTGCTAACTTTTTCCTCAATCATACCTTCAACATATTTATTTATAAAGTATATGTTGGCGTTCAGACTTTGATTCTATCAGCTTCCTTTTGTTTAAGTATATTAGTTTATTTTAAGACTGTCAAAACCATTTAATTATACTTTACAACCAAACAAGAAGTGACATAATATAACAAATTACCCGATCTGCTAATCCCCCAGGAACAATTGTTCTTACAACTACTCCACTCGACTTTCCTCCTACAATTCCAAAGCCTAATCCCGAACCATCGTTAATCAGCTCAACGTCTTCAACATGGCCCCAGTGAATCTGCAATTAATAAACACAGAAGATTTTCATTTCAGTCGATCTTTAATGTTTCTCACTTTCACATGTTCCAGGAATGATGAGAATTAATCAGAGCAATTTTCTCTCTCTGCCCCACATATTGGAGATCCATTGGATTTTGTTCAGTCAGCTTCATTTCCTTATAAATACGCAGTGGGATTTCTCATCTGTTTTTAAACATACACTTTGTCCTTCACTTTCAGGATAACAGGATACTAGGAAAAAGCTTGACTAAGAAAAAGCAATTTTAAGATTTTCTTGCCAAAATGAAAACTATCCTTGCAGATTTTCATAAATTAAGCATACCGCAAACAACAGAGAAAAACAGAGGCAAGGAGCTTGCACTGGCCTAGTTTTCACTTAGCGTTGCCGAAATTCTTATCTCTGTTATTCCACTTACACACTCTAAACACCATCAGTACACGCTGAATTAATAGCGCAGTACAATATTCTGCCATACTGAAGCGGAGGCATGTTTCTAAGCTACACTGTACCATGACCTTATGTTCTACAAGACAATTTGAAAATAACAAAGCTGTTCAGCAACCCAAACCCAGCCAATGTTTCTGTCAGATTAATATCTCATAGAAACCAAAATGGAGCAAAGTAGGCAGATTTAAATCTTCTGTGAATAAAGGATTTATTAGCATACTGAAAATCTTTGCCAGCCAGTTAAATATCATACAAGAACTTTAAAGACCCTCTGTAGATATATATATTTGTATTTTATTTTGTTAGTCTGTTCAGTGCAGATCTTTCAATGAAAAAGCAGTTAGTTTAATTCTTTAAAATTTTCAGTGCAATAAACAATATTGATTATCCACTAAAACCTTCAGATTTCACTAGCTCTGTAATAATCATGAGGGAAATAATTACCGACAATAAGGAAAAGCACTGCTCTTAACCAGATTTTCATCAAAACCTACTAGCATAATAAATTAAGATTTCAATATTGCAAACCCTGGATTTAGGTGTGCAGTTTGACCAAATTCAGTGAAGCCACCTGGACCACATGGTTTGAACACAGATGGAAGTTCAGCCCTAACTTATTACATGTCCCAGCAACAATCTCTCCTTGTTCGAGAAAACAAAAGGGTTCACAATCAATGGAATTTGCAGATAAAAAAAAAAGAACAACAAAACTGATAAATAATCAGGGACTAAGATGTTCTTTAACAGACACTTTTTGTTTGTTTTTAAAACAAAGACAAGGCTTTTTGTTTTGAGCAGTTGAAGTTCAAGTTGATTGGGATATTTCAAGCAGTGCTCATGATAGGTTACGTTTACGCTCTTTTAAGATGTAATCAGAGCATCTTTAATTGCTGAGCACAAGTAGGTTTCAGCTGGGTATACTCATAAAACGCTTTACCCAGCCTATGCTGAACAGACCCTGCTGCTAAGAATATGTTGATCTACTAAAGCTTCTGCTATCCCATAAAAACCCAGGATCTATTTTATAACAACTTCAAGCAGCTTTGCAATGGAAGCCTTATACTTATTGCATGATCAGTCTAAATGAAATGTCATTACATATAAAATCTGATTAAGGAAAAAAATCCCTATATGTAAAGCTTGCTAACACAAACACAATGGCAAAAAAAATACCCAGCATAGTTCAAAATCTGATTTTGACAGTATTACAACAACTCACAGTCTCAGGTGGATTTATATCACTTAAGACAGCCGAAGTTCTGCTGTTTCCTTGAACTGGCTCCCTAGCAACAACCAGATGTAGAGATCCTGCGGATTGCTGGAGGAGGGCAATAGCGTGCTGATGGGAAATGTTCTGATCCAATGGGGTGCAATTAATGGCCAGTATGTGGTCATTTTCCTTTAGTCTTTGATCCCTTAACAAAACATTAAAAGAAATTTTAAAATGCAGCCTAGTGACTTCACATCAGGCTCGTGTAATTTAAATATGAACGTGCAAAATACACAGTTACACAAGGTTAAATATGTATTTATTAAAAAAATCTGCTTATTAGAGTGTCTTTACCAACGTACAAATGACATAGAATACACAATGTACTGAATTGCCCAGCTATATTTTGTTCCAACTTTATCAGGGTACAGAAATTTGCTCCATTTTTTCCTTTGCTACTATTCAAAATTCAACGAAACTCCCTCACGCTTTCTTGATGATACTGAATTACAGAGCAGGAAAAAAAAATATTTTTGTTGTTATACAATGACCTAGGAACTATTCTTCATTATTTTTAGCATTACACGATACTGTCTCTAAGTACCCACAACTCAGGCTATGATATTGTTTTTATCAAGATCAATGAGCTGCATATTTATATTTTACTCAAAATTTACAGTATCAAACTCCAGACACTGAACATTCTTCGAGCAATACACAGTTCAACTTATACCTTGAGATAATAAAAATTTCACAGTTAATTCACCCTAGTGATGAATTTAGATTTGTGACAAGAGAGAAACCATCACTCATCTCCTTTGTTAAATATTCATTCTGAGCACGAGACCAAACTGTTACATAGACAGACACTGCCTTCAAAGCTCTGTAGGAATCCAAAAAAAGTCTCCAGGAGATCTTGTCTCAGAAGGAAAATGGGAAGCATGCTGGGGAAATTTATAAACTCCGAAACAATATAACTGCACATCTTAACCAACGCATTTTAAACTTCCTTTTTATCATGCGATGTTTAAGATGTTTCCCAGAAATCACTTTCTTCAAGCACTAACCATATTTTAGATTCTCTCATCAAAGAAAGTGAGCAGCAGGTCATCAAATCCTAAAGTGAGATATTCACCCTCCTTTGACATCCGGATCAGTCCATCTGTCTCCACTTTGAAAGAGTCTAATATGCTTTTCTTTAAGTGTTCTCTGGTGTGTTCTCTTGGGCCCATAGCCATTATCATTCCAACCTCTCCCCACTCTTTTTGTCATCCTGTGTTGGCACTTCCTGACATGTGTTATTTAAAAAGTGACACCAATGACTTGAAATCTAGACACATTTTCTTGAAACATAATTCCAAGCACTGCATTTGTCTCATGCCAACCCTTGTGGTTTTACAATCACATTTTATTTTTAAAGGATTGCTCTGTCTTTTGTTGTTGGGTGAAAACCCACAGACAATACGGGAAGAAAACTGCCTGAAGCCTTGATTCTATGATGACATCTGTGCAGGGATCTGTCAGGAGTACTGGATCCAAATTTACATAGGAAACAAACAGTAAACCCAACTATAAATAAGGCATTGTCATAGGCACATAAATAAAGAAACAAGAGGGGAAAAAATATCTTTCAGGGACACAACACATAAGAATTCAAACGGAGGCTAATTTTTATTTTCCTTTTATTTCCTTTCCTTTATTTTTCAAGTTTTCTTTTGTTTTTTAATCAGTACTCAAGATTTTCTTAAGTGAGTCATGATTTCTGGGAATTCCATTTATGAATGGCTCAGATATTTAAAACTCATCTGAAAATCTGATCCTCAAGACATGAGACCATTTAGTTGAAAAGCCAGAATTCAAGATACTACCAACAAAAACATCTCACCAGATAACCCAGACAAACGTGTTAGTCTGATAGAGTTTTCAAGGTGAAAGTCGTGACTTTTGCCTTCATGGAAATACTGCACTTTTACAATACAATTATAAAGATCTCACCTGTCAGCTATGCTTCCTGGCTGGACTTCCTTGACAAAGATACCAACTTCTCCCAAGCTGTGATTTTTAAGGGCAACCACACTAAATCCAAGACCTCCAACAGAAGGCTTTTCAATCTTTATTGATTCTATTTGTCTCCCCTAATAAAACAGAAAAAAATTGATTTACTAATTTTTAATGCAATAGAATGAGCTTGTTTAAAATTTATGAACACTGGGAGAAATATTCTCTTCCTAAGACTAAACAAAGGCAAAATACTGAATATGTTATTTCTATAAAAGCTCCTCCATTTATTATTTTTAATATAGCAGAGTATTGGATATGCAAGCATGCTGAGGTTCTGAAACCTCAGGGAATTTAAGAGCTGCTTTCACACTTCATTCACATTATGAGATGAATTCCAAACTGGATGAAAACTATGAACGAAGTGCTGTCTAGAGCAATATATTTGGGATTTCTGGAAACACTGCATAGCTAAACTAAATTACTTGTCTTTTGGCTCCCCTTGCTTTTAATGCTGATTTTTAGGTGCGCATTCAAAAGACTGCAGCTTTTAAATAAAGAAATTAATTTCCTTCCCCTCCCTGCAACTTCACACTTAATGCTAAAATAAGTTTGCTTTTGGACTGCCTGCTTTTCAGTTCTAATACAAGACTTCTGGAGTTATTTACTAGGACATATTACTTAGCTAACGCACTGCTACCACAGCTGTTTTATCCAAAATAATCTGCAATCTTTACCACTAAATCTTTTATCTGATGAGTTAATGACACACTAATGAGAAGAGTTATGCTCAAAATACTATAGCTACATTAAGGTAGTCAATTAGCAACAGTTACTTAATATAGAAAGGCATGACTAACCAATTAAATTAATGGTTCAAAGTAACACAGAACAATACATTTGTGGAATAAATGCAAATCCCACATGGGTGGATGTCTGCACCTGTACAACATCCATAAGCACCTGGTACATGCTACATCACATGTTAATGAAATCAGCATCTGTCTGGCAAAGTTAAGACAGACTAAATGAAAAGTTAAATAAAATATTACACGCTAGTCTTTTTAATCATTTGCATTGTTTATATATTAACAAAGTTGGTACATTTCCAATTTAAAATGTACTTGATAAACCAAGTCTCTCCATCAAAACAAGTTTCTGCAGAAAACGTCTATTTTCAATTAGGTGTCATCAAATACGAAAAACGTTTTCCGGCAACTGACATTTCTGTATTGGTGTGTTTGGTAGAAAGTTAAGACCAAAAAAACGGCAAAGAAAGAAAAAAAATACCACCAAAAACCCAACCACCACCAAACCACTTTTCATTGCTGACATTATCTTTCACAGGGAAAAGTTATCCTCAGCACTTCTACTCTCTTACTGCCTAGAAGGCACCACATTCCCAGACACACAACACGACAAAAAGAGCATGTTTGAAAATGTACTCCAAAAGCTTGCAAAAAACAGCTTGACATTAAAGGAAAGTAAGTTTCGTTGGCTAAACCTGAGAGACTTACCTTTGCCATCTTTTGGATGATTGTGTTAAATTCATTAACTCCCAGGTTTGGAGTGAAGGTAGATGCTTCGGGTTCAGGTGAACTGCAAGGTGTATACACGCTCCCAGCAGTAACTGATTTGTCAGCAAACACTAGTAGCCCTCTCTTAGTAAAATCAAAATCTACTGAACAGTCAGGAGGCATATAACTGAGCTGTTGAAATTGAACAAAGATGCAGAAAAACTATTAAAAACAAAGGAAGAGATTTCCACTTATATCATGTGAAGACTGCCAGAGAAGCAAGCATACATACGTTCATATATGCCTATTCACATAAATATACTCACCTGTATAAATTAGGCAATGTTAATATAGAAGCTATAACCAAGCTACCACATCAAGTTTAAATAGTTTGTCAGAGAGTTCCCTCAATGTTTCAGCTATGTTTCTACTTCACTCATTTTCTCCATTTCTTTCATGCTTCTGCCCTGCCCTCTTTTCACCCTGATATTCCAGAAACAGCACATGCAAGAGCACCTAACATTAGAGGCACTCAAGCACTGCTGCAACTGCAGGCGAACCTAGACAATTTTGGCACAAGAATCCAGATTTTTTTAAGAGTTATTTAGTCACTCAGGAGCCAAAGGCCTGGTCTGTATTATCTCCTCCCCAGAGAGAGCCTAGGGTACAAACTAACTACCATTGAACGTGCTGTCTTTGCTAGAACTTGCAGCTCAATTTCTAGTCTTGACAGATAATGAAGAAATGCAGAAATATTCCCAGTGTGACACAGTAAACTGAAAAATCCCATCCTGAACGAAACTGCTCATGATAGACACAATTCGAAAGAATTTCAAGAAAACCTGTATTTTCTAGATATGATAATTCCAAACATTCTGGATATAAAATCTATTATGCCACAGTCACAAAGTATGATCTTAGATTTATTTGCATTTTCATACAATTTCAATAGCTTGCAGACATGCATCCAAGCTTTGGAAGGAAGGAACAGAACAGATGCAACATCTAGGCGAACACGGAAAGAAGGGAGAATGAACAGCACAGCCACTACCATGCCACCCAGGCAGGAACACGTGCAATACATTTGGCAACGACAGCAAGGTGGCCTCGTCCCCCTGACACCCAGCCTGCCCTATCTGCAGCTGGGCAGGTGCAGTAACAGCAAAGACAGGGATCGCTGCTGCTTAGGCTATGCCAAGTTAGCCCCTGATTTTAAGTTCGCATGCCTGACTGCTAACTGCATGGTGAGACCTGTTCATGCAGATATGTAACTGATGCCCATGTTCACGAAATCTGTCAGCTGGCATTACAAACCAATCCACACAAGTTCCTTCCACTGCTGAAGCCAAGTCATTTTAAAGCTAGCTTGGGTATGTCTGCATCAGAGCTTGGCAAATCTTCAGGAGTGGTTTTCTAGATTTTACTTCCCAAAGCAGGTTAACCGTTTTTGTACAAGTGAGCAGGAACTAAGCTGTGATGGAGAAAAGATGCTGCCAGTTAGCTGATAAACAGGATTTAGCTTCTGTGAAAAACAAAGGATCCCAATTCCAACTGTGTTCAGAACTTGAAGTACTACAGTTGATGTCTTTTGCAGATGCTTTTTTCCAACTGATGTGGTTCTCAACGCCCGCCTCTTCTGCATCCCTTTCAAAGCATGTTGCCCCATGACCTGTTTGTTGCAACACCACTGCTCATTCCAGTAGTGGCTCTGTAGACACTAGCTTGACACACCCCTTCCCCGCAAAAAAAAAAAAGCACCAAACACTCACACCAAGTTAAAGCTTATTAATGAGAGCGCCCTCATTAACACAGGCCTACATACCCTGTTTTAAGTTCCAAGCCCACCATAATTACCATCACACCAACCACCATCATTTTACACTCACTTGTTCCTTCAGTTGCTTGATGGATTGCTGGAGAGTCAGTATCTGGTTAAACAAAGGGCTCCTGAGCGTGTTACGTAAAACAGTCAGGTTTTCATTATGTTGGGAATCCCTTTTCTCACACAGTTTTGCTTGCAGACGATCAAGGATCTGCAGCACCTGCTGTTTATCTGCGCCACAAAGCAGTACGCGTTAGGAACAGAGCTTCATTTTTCGCTGCTTAACAAAAGTAATCGCTTTCAGACTACATACCCGCAGCAGGATTTTCAGGCATGTTGAAGGGTATTTTTGGAATGACTCAGAATAACCTAGATGAGGTTTAAAAAAAACAAAGAAATAAATTACATATACGAGCGGAATGCTAACAGATACAGAGTCAATAAATGGAATAATAAAATACTAAGCTAATAACAAATTTAATAAAAAAATACAACTACCCCCTGTTGTTTACCCCAAGTATTCATCAAAGGTCTCAATATAGTTAGTTGCACAGCAGCCTCAGCACATCCGAAAATCTTTCCTTGTTCTGTGTGGTTTTCCTTTCGCACACGGGAAGGAATACGAACAACTTTTTCAAATACAAGTAAAAACGCAGATTATAAAAAGAAACACTGGCCAAGAAAACTGAGACACAGCTATGTTCAACTACATTATTTTGAATATGGACATTAAAAGTTATGATCCTTCAAATACACATACAGTTAAAATCTTCCTATTATTTAGAAGATACTTGCCACCTGATTAATTATTTGTAGACACTATTCTGATCACGTAACTCAGCCCTGCTGGATAGCAATATAGGTGAAACCTTGCATCTCCCTATAAAACAATGAAGTTCCCTCCACTCACGAGGACATCACAGCACTAAGGCCCAAAACTGGCCAAATCAATCCCTATTCCAACACATTCTAAGGGAGGTCAGTTGTCATCGCAGCCCCAGTACAGAACAGGTGAAAGCAGCCCATTCTCTTCTCCTACGTGAGCTTGCCTTTCTCTTTTCTAGGTACATGACAAGCTTTTAAGGAGCAGAATATCTTTTATCACACTCCTCTATGGTGCCAAATAAAACAGGTCTCCAACTGGGGCTGGTGCCTAGATGGCAGTATAAAAACAACAGACTTGCAATTAGCAGCAATGATAAATTTGTACCCTTACTTGCATGTTATTACATTGATGTGGAGCCTGTCATTCTGAAATATATCAAGGCAGTTATACCAAAGCATACACGAGAAACTAGATTTCTTCACTTAGTACAAGCTCCTCTGAAAGAAGTCAGACGTTTAATAGCACAATTTACATAATTTTAACTCTAACCAGCACATAACTGTGTGGTTTCAGAATAATATACTTGGAATTATTTTGGAACAAAAATAACCATATATATATATATTTAAAAAACCTCTGCATTTACTTTTTCAATCTTGCAATTCAAGAATAGAAAAGGCCATATGCATCTGAACGTAATACTGGGGTAAGCACATCCCAGGGGCTGTCTCCCAGCAGGATCTCTGATCCCTTCAGCTCTGCCTCTGATGCTGTCTGTGCTCACACTGAAAACATCTTGAGTTCTGCGAGGACGCTGTTATATTTAACAAAATATTAGTTATGCAGATGAACAGCTTCTCTTCTCCTGAAGAGTCAGATTAAGTTGATTTACCTAATGAAAAAAAAAAAAAATAAAAGCAGAGGTGTGTCGCAAACCACAATTTCAGATTTATGCACCCTTTACTGTATCTGAGTAGCTTTGGCTCCTGGAGGAATTCCTGTCGAACTCGGTGGATTTGTGTGGTTTCCACCCAGGGCCAAGCAAAATGAGTCGCTTTGCAAGACTATTAATGGATTTAGGAGGTCATTTTAAATCAAACCCATAGCAAGAGTTGAAGTGGCAAACCCATACAACCCCTGAATGGTTTTCAGGAATGCATCTGAACTTTAAGTGCTGCAGCTTTATTTTCTTTTCCATTTGAAATAAAATACTTCCAAAAGCACAGCAGCCTTTGATTCTGTGCTGAGATCTGATTCTGAAGAACAGATGAAAATACCGTTTCCTTATACACTCCTGAGTCTTCACGTAAACCAAAAAGACAAAATTTAACCTCCTTGACTAAAAATACTGTAGGAATCTTAACAAAACAGGACAAAGAATATGGAAATTTGTTCCTTCTTCCCAATTTAACTTCCCTCCATTCACTTCCCTTCTCTGTTTTACTACTTCACATCAGCAGTTAAAAGAGAAAAAAAAACAAACCCTAAAGCAAGCAAACCAACATCAGAAAAGGAATGCAAAATAACTCCTATGAGGAAAAGTGGCTAGAAACACCTTTAAACCAGCAGCAGCGTGAAGAAAAGATTAAACCCAGAAAAGAAATCCAGCATGGCAGGAAATAATGATGACTTGACAGCACCATGCCCATCTAATAGCTGAAGCCAAGAGGCTGGTCCAGCTCTCCAGCTCTCTTTCATTCATTTTGTTCTTCCCTTTCCATCTGCGCTTGCACTCATTCATCTGATCCCATAGTGAGCTGGAACAGGGAGCTAAACACGCAGGAAAAAACCTTCACATTTTGGTAGGGTGAGCTTTCTGCCCAGTTAGCTCTTGCTGCCAGCGCTGGCATGCAGGAGGGGTCCGAGAAGTGCCGGGGAAATGGGACCACACCTTGCAGCAGCAGTGGCTAGCGGCTGCAGCAGCTCAGCTGCACTGGCAAACTGCACCATGAGAAACAGCCTGCATCGTTCAAGAACAGCCTCAAAGGGCCGCACTGACAGTCTCCAAGATTAATCTTTTTTTCCATTATAGCAGGTATAATAATAGCAATTATGACGAAGGGTACAGATCCACAAAAGAAAAATTTAAGCAGAAAAATGTAGGTAAGAGATCTAGGCTCCCTCTAGGTAGATGTCCCCTGGAGAAGGAGGTGCAAAAGCAGGGAGAAAAAAAAGATGAAAGTTTCAGCTTCCTGCTTGAGCTGCTCCAAAGCATTGCTAAGAGCCATTGCAGACCACTCTGTGTCGGTGGACGCCGAAGTGGACCTCAGGTACTGTTTGTGTAACAGCTCACATTTACACAGCACTTTGGGATTCCTCGTGATCAAAGCTGGCCTTCAGCCAGCTTGCAATGGCTTTTTATGATTTTTTGTGCGTGTGCAATATGTTAAAACCACCCTCAGTATTTCTTTGTTGGCCGGCCTTTCATAAAAAGAGAGTGGGGGGGAAAAAGGGCGTTATATTTTAAAGTAAACAGCCCCTTCTGGTATGAGGGGATCTCTGAAAATATAAAATAATTTAAAGTTTTCAAGTAATGTATAATTGAGGACACATTTCTCTGGCTTTTGGGCACCAGAGAAACACACAACTCCATGTACTATTGAGCTGCTTATGTTTAGGGGCCCAAACAGCTTATAGTTAAACAATTCCCAAACACCAACGCTAAGTCCGAGCAGGGTGTCAACAGACAGTTGCTAAATTTGGAAGTCCATTCCTAGATGATAATTTTGAAGAGTGATCCAAAACACTTTGTCTTGTTAAAATCAGTCACTCACTCCGCATTCAACCTCCTTAGCTCCATACTGATTTCTACAGCCACTTATTTATCTTACTGGTAGACAAAACTGCAAACCTCAGCTCAAAATTGATGTCACAACTCCCAATATAACTGTAAAGTAATTGAGAAAATAATTAATTTCAGAAAGTTTAGTGTTTTCTAATACCAGAAAAAATCCCCACACTCCAGCACAGTGTGCATCTGGGTTTTTACTGTCTTCACTTTTGAGAGCTGAACTCAACACATCATAGGAAGCGGGAAAGTTTCATAAGGTTTTGTATGAAATCCTAAGACTTGGATCTTCTTCAAAAGAAGACTAAGAAAAAAGGAATTCCCCCATGCTGATGCCAGCAGAGGTCATCAGAAGAGCTGAAAGGTTTAAGTCTTCCATTGCCATCACCCCCCCTGCCAGCCGTCTGCCACTTGCACAGAGACACAGGGTGCCCAACCCTGGCACATCCCAGAGCCAGAGGGGAACACAACACTCCTGGCAGTGGCCTTGACAAACACCTGCCCTCCACAAAGGGCTGCTGAAAGACAGGAATAAGGGTGTTCCTGCTGGGGTCTGGAGGAGGACATGGTTTAGCCAGCAGAGATTCTTCAGCCCATTTCTCCCCACCCACCTAACAACTATAACCGCTTCTGCCCTACATCCTTCAACTTGGCCTCCAACAACCTGTGTCCTTCCAGAAGTTGTCCCTGCAGGGAAAGTCCTGCCTCATGTGAGGCTCTCCCTGCTCAGCGTGGGTGTAACCTTTCAGAACATGAAACATCAGAGTCCTTAATGGAAAAGTGCTAACTGCTGCTATTTTTCAAAGGCTTCTAGCATGGTCCATCCATGCAGCCTGCCACAGGAACAGCCAAGAGTACATCCCAATCCAAAGCCACCTTTCTTCGCTAATGCAGTTGTAATTTTTCCTGGCCGTGTTATTAGGAGTGACTGATACAATGCATATCACCTTCCTCATCAGAGAGATGTCTGACTTGGAAAATTTCAGCTCAGACAATTTAAAATTTGATAAAGGCGAAAGAAAGCGAAAACAGCATTTGTTAGTGTGATCTTAATCCTAAATTGTGCTAACCCAGCATAACCTGTAACTTCAGATATTAAAATTTACATAGTTTACACACCATTAAGCAACTATGTACCGTGGGAAAAAAAGCCATTGTGCTGTTCTACACATTATGCTCAGTTTTCCATCCTGGTAACATACAGAAGAATTCAGTTCGACCAAGCTTAGCATGCACACACCTTTCAGATGAAACCACCAAAACCTACTGTCCTGTATAATGCTGCAGTATTTATATAAAGTGCTCTAGAGTACGTGCTTACTGCTCCAGGCACTTGAAAGAAGGAAACAGTGCTGTGAACACCCAAACACATCACACATCTCCAGGGTCAAAGCTAAGTATTGTTAAATATAAAAAAACCTACTCCATGGGCAAACGGAGCATGTCCTGTTGTTACATACGATTAGTGACCACAAGATGAGGAAAGTAAAAAAACTTCAACAACTCTGCATCTGTGATTACCAGTCTCCATGCAGATCAAGAGAAGCCTTACTCACTCTCAAGGTATGCTAATTTATAACAAGCAGAACCTGAATTCCTGCAGACTTCAGCCTCTAGGGAAGCACTGGTGTGGGTTCTCTGCTGTCTAGTAGAAGGGTAAGCTCGCATCAAAGCCTCTCCACGGACCAGTATCACGGTTTCAGAAACCCATTATCACAAAG